AGAGAGAGAGAGAGAGAGAGAGAAAGAGAGAGGGAGAGAGAGAGAGAGAGGGGGGGGGGGGGAAGAGAAAGAGACAAAAAAGAAGGAAAAACACAGAGAAAAATAAAGACAGAAAAACAGAAAAAGAGATAGACAAAAAGAAAAGCAAAGAGAGAAAAAACAAAAAAACAACAACAACAAAAAAATAAAACACCATATCCCCTATATTCAACACCTTCACAAGAAACACTATTAATACCGTGACCAACAAAATAAATCGCTTACAATAATTGTTTTTTATATTTAGCTAAACCAAACTCAATTTATAAAACAAAAAATTCAACGCTCATTCAACAGACTTTTTCCATGCATCAGCCTGTCATCGCAATAAGCGATCAAGTTCCAACAACAGTTATGGCCAACGATGCAGAAAATGATAATTGAATTATCGAAAAGTGACTAAATACGACAGAGACAGCAATCGCTTGAAGTGATTAACGAATAACTAAGTGACGACGAAGACTGAAGCCATCAGAAGTACAAAGTCGTTGCATCCTGTATTATAATGTTCCCAAAGATGGAAGATCAAGATCAAATCGTTAATCGCTACGAAGTGATTGATGAAGAATCGAGTGACGACGAAGACTTAAGCCATCAACAGTACAAAGTCACTGCATCTTCTATTATACGGTTCCCAAATAAGGAAGATCATGATCGACCATTTGCCACACTTTTCCTATGGATCAACCTGCCATCACTGCAGTTGATCAAGTTCCAGCAACAGTTACCGCCGACGATGCAGAAAAAGTTGATTGGATTGTTGTAAAAATGACTAAGTGCAACAGACAAAGCAGTCGCTACAAACTAATTGATGAAGAATTCACACATCAGCAGTACAAAGTCGCTACATCTTGTATTATCTTGTTCCCAAAGAAGGAAGATCGCGATCGACCATTTGCCACACTTTTTCTATTGATCAATCTGCCATCACTGCACCTGATCAAATTCCAACAACAATTACTGCAGACAAAGCAGAAAAAGTTGATTAAATTGTTGTAAAAATGACTAAGTGCGACAGAGAAAGAAATCGCTAGAAACTACTTGATGCTCCATAAGACAGAAAAAAAGACAGAGAAATATATATATATATATATATAGAGAGAGAGAGAGAGAGACAGAGAGAAAGACAGAGAGAAAGACAGAGAGAAAGACAGAGAGAGAGAGAGAGAGAGAGAGAGAGAGAGAGAGAGAGAGAGAGAGAGAGAGAGAGACGGAGAGAGACGGAGAGAAAGACATTGGATTCTTGAAAAGTGACTAAGTACGACAAAAAAAAAAAATCGCTAGGAAGTGATTGATGAAGAACCGAGTAACGACGAAGACTTAAGCCATCAAGAGTACAAAGACACTGCATCTTGTAAGAAAGAGAAAGAGCTCGCTTATCCAATTGCTTTTTATATTTTATTAAACCAAACTCTGATTATAAGACAAACGACTTAACAACCAATTGCCACACACTTTTCCTATGGATCAACCTGCCATCACTGGACCTGATCAAGTTCAACAACATAGAAAACAACACACTACAATGCGACAATAATTCGTAATTATATTTTGCGGTATATACTATTTCTTTATTGTTTCTACTTCAATCACTCTTATCATGTAAATATATGTGTGTCTACTGTCTCTCTCTTTCTTTGTCTTTGTTTTTCTCTCTCTCTCTCTCTCTGTCTGTCTTTCTCTCTCTCTCTCTCTCTCTCTCTCTCTCTCTCTCTCTCTCTCTCTCTCTCTCTTTTCTAAGACCACAAAATAATCGCTTCAACTACCTTAGGGCTGCGTTCTCCGCGCCCACGCAATATACAATTTATTTTTTCGTCTGGCCGGTAATTCGCAGCCCTAAGGCTGCGGTCTACTGGGGTTCGGCGTCTGTGTCAAGGTGTCACATTTTTGGCGGCGAGCGCTTAGGGAGTAAAAAAAAATGGGGAACCGGTCCTTGCCAAAATTGCGGATTACCTACAGCTAGCTCTGGTAGAACCGGGACTTTTGGAAAAAGGAAGGACCGGTCCTCAGGTGGAAGTGGACCCCAA